TTATAAAATAAGGTTGCCCCATACCTCGTGCATGTAAATTATATTTAATAATATGAGCTAGCATAGAGACAACTACCCATAATTTCTTTTGGGCATGAATGGTTGTGCATCTTCACATATCTTGTAAGCAAATAGTACCTATGGTCTTCATGAACAACATGGAAAGTGCCGATTTTCTTTAAATCAATGTGTAACTAAAGTATGAACAAAAAATTGTTACACTCACTGTGGTTTTAAAATAATTTATCTCAAGCTGTTTCTTGGGAATAGAGGATATTCTGGGCTTATTGAGTGTGTTATGTAATATTTCCGTGGGAAAATGCCTCTGAGAACTTGATTTTGTACCTTAATGAAACCTGCGGACAAACAATTTGGAGCACTGATTCTTTAAACGCCCTTCCTTCTTAGTCACAACTCTGAAATCTTCGACCTTGATTAGTGTCTCTTAAAGTTTTTAATTGTACTTTTGACAAGATTATTAAAATTGACAGTACAGACTTCTTCCTTTTTTATATAAGTTATAGTGTAACTTATAATAAAATATTCTAAAATAATAACACTATTAAAATTTAAAGGTGAACCAAATTATTTTAAGCAATGCATATTTAATTTCATTTTAACTAGCAAAATATATCAATTTCCCCAATTTTCTATCAGTTTCTCTGTACCACTTCTTAACATGTTTGCATTTGAATTTATTACTCATAAATGAGCTTTTAAGATATATTCTGGTTTAAAATTTTTCAGAGAGGAAAAAATAAAGACTAAGGGCTAGAACAATTATACAGTGGATATAGTTCTAGCCTTAAATGCAGCAGACCTGGGTTTGATCTCTGCACCACATTTAATATTGTTAAGATAACATCTTTGCACATTATTTCAAATATTAATGTATTTCCAACACCATTGCCCATACCTTTCCAAACACCATACCCTTGTCTGAAGAGTGATTCAGACAACATAATTTACTCCAATTAAAGTGAATAATTGAAAATTTTAATGTAACTAACAGCATTATCAAAATTTATGAAGTTTTCATCAGTTTCAAAGAAATACAAAAGCAATTAAAAGTCACTTCCCGTTCCACTTCCATTCAACTCTTGGCAAGCACTGATGTACCTTCTTACATACAAATTTATTTCTTCTTTGATATTTTATAAAATGGACTAATGGTAAGTGATCTTTTGAAAGGTGGATACCCATAATATAGTGCTAAGCGAAAAAAAAATGAGACACCAAATAAATATATTCTTGGTATATAGATGGAGATATAGATGCAACAGAATCCAATTTAAGTGTTTTCATCCTAAAGTTTATTCTTTCATAAAATAAATTTAGATCTGCATAATATATGTTTTGATATTTGGTGAGTATAGCATTACACATTTTTATACCAGGGAATAATTCTGTTAGCATCATAATGAAAAAAATCCTTTTCTTTTTTATGCTATGTGAAACAGTAGCATTTTCTTCCATTTTCTTTCTCTTTTTTTAAACAACACCCAGAAATGTTGGGAGCGACTCATGACTCTGTCTTAGGTCACTACCTGTGGTGTTTTTGGGGAACAGGGTGTCCACAGGGTTCTAGGAGTTGAATCTGGGTCTCCTGCACATGAGCTAATTCTCCATTGCTGAAACTATTTTCTATGTAACTAAAATAAAACTACATTATTTTTTAAATTGATCATTGGACTTTTCATAGAATATTTCTAAGAATTGGGAGAAAGTCAGGAGATAAATAACAAATGATCACAGTCATATGCGATACATAAAGAAGTAAAGCAAGGAAATAGACAAAGTCAAATGCAAACAAACCCTTCAACTTTAAAGATAAAATTCAAAAAGTTCACAAAGTAGTGAGAGTAGATGAGAAGAGTCTTAGGGACAGTGACAGAGAGATATAAAAACTTTAGTTGTAGGTATAGTGTGGTAGTCAACACTGTTCTCCCAAAAAGTATAAACAATGACATTCTTATAAATTAGAATATAATAGGTACATTCACAAATTTGAAAGAACTGATTTTAATATTCTTTAATATTTAGTAGCACTGCACTGTTGTCCAGTTGTTCATAGATTTGCTTGAGCAGGCACCAGTAACGTCTCCATTGTGAGACTTGTTGTTACTGCTTTTGACATATTGAATATGCCACAGGTAGCTTGCCAGACCCTGCCATGTGGTGGGATACTCTCGGTAGCTTGCCGGGCTCTCAGAGAGGGATGGAGGAATCGAACCCAGGTTGGCCACATACAAGGCAAATGCCCTACCCACTGTGCTGTCACTCCAGTCCTATAGTTAAGACCATATTAAAGCTAAAACCATGAATAGATATATGGTTTTTTACTAAAACAAATGGCCTGATACTGGGTCAGGGCTAGAGAGTTTGATGAGCTCGAGTGCTCAAGTGCAGACTTTGCATGTTAAAGTCATGGGTTTCATCCTTAGCATCACACAGTTCCTTGAGAAACGCTGAGAAACAGCCTCAGTATATCTACAGATGTGCTTCCCAAACAAAATCACATTATTAAAATTCCTAGAAATTATAAAAAAATATATCAATGACCTAATATAGCAATGAAATATTAAATTAAAAATGAGATATTAACAGAATAAATAATAAAAATATCTGAAACATTGATCAATTTCATAAGTAAATATTAAAAAGTATTTTAGGGGCTGGATCGATAGCAGGGCATCTGCCTTGCATGTGACCGACCCAGGTTCAATTCCCAGCACCTTATAGAGTCCCCTGAGCACTGAGCACTGCCAGGAGTAATTCTTGAGTGCAGAGCCAGGATTAACCCCTGTACATCGCCAGGTGTGACACAAAAAGCAAAAAAAAAAGTATTTCAAAAATACAGTGTATATTCATTTTAAGTTTACAATAAGGTATTGCACACATTTAAGAGCTAACAACTTCTGGGCTGGCAGGATACTTGCCTTGCATACAGTTGATCAGATTCAAACACTGACACCTCATACTGTCCCCAAAGCAACACCAGAAATGATCTTTGAATAAAGAGTCAGTAGTACAGTCAGCTGAGTACTGTACATTATAGTCCCAAAACAAAACAAACAACACACACATACACACATGCACACACACACACTATCTATATTTTGTTTATTATATATGGGGAGGGAGAGAGAGAGAGAGAGAGAGAGAGAGAGAGAGAGGAGAGAGCATACATTTTATTCCAGAAGGGTTTATGAAGTATATCTTATATGCAGCTGGTACATGTGGTCCCCCAGGCATCCCTCAGAGTAGCCCTAAAGGCTCTAAAGAACCCCTGTTCATAACACCACTTCAGCAACTAGATCAGCTTCAGTTGATATATAGGCAACAAACTTTGAATATTCTCTGATACAGGTGCAGATAGACTATGAAGATCATGTCCGAATTGAACGAGATAAATATCTATGAAACAGTAATTTATTTTGCAAATAAATATGCTTGACTGACGTTCATTGTCAGTAAAAGCCACTGGGGAGACTCAACCCGGCTTCCTGGCATTTTCTCTCCTGTGGCTACTAAGAAACAGTAGGCAGGAAGTCCAGTGGAATTCAACTTCCTGTAAGCCATTGTGGGTAGGCTTAGTTCCCTGTACTAAGCCTCTGCCTGCTGTGACCTTGCAGTCTGGGACCCATCCTCAGCAATTTCTATCTGTGACCTTATAATTGCTCTGTCCCAGGACCAAGCAGGACAGCTCTGTCCCAACACTATCTGTGCCACAGGTCTTCAGTAAACACTGAAATCCATTCTAGGGAAGCCTGATCTCCAAGTGATCCCTTCTCTGGGTACGCCCTTTAGCCTACAGGCATTCTCTGTCTTTTATACATACTTAATGGACAATTGCAAACAAACAACAAATTGTTTTCTTCAAATCTCTCCTGCTTCTGCCTCCTGAGTCACTCTGGGATACACAACTTATACCTTGCTTGTTAAATCCTCCTTGGGAGCACATTTAAGGGTCAGAACAATCAACTAATTTACAAAATATGCACATGAGAAAGAATGAATAAAAAGCTCAACATGATGGTTTGTAGTTCAAACATTTATTAAAATAACAAATTATTAAGGAATATACAATATCTACCTGACTGTATAATGTGGTGATCCATATGAAAGTGTATTTTAAAGTAATTCTACAACAACAGTGTGAATTTAAAGGTGAATCATGGACTTTAGATCATTCAATTGCGTTAATAGAGACATCCTCTGTATAAACTGTAACTTCTCATTTAGTGATATCCCTGGGGGTGTATATATAGGTGAGGGAATTGGGGGATTGAAATTCCTTCTATCTTACTCTTAATTTGGATGTAAATCAGGAGTAATAAATTAATGTAAATATAACTCTGGATATAATTGTAATGCTTTTGAAAAAAATGAGAACTTTATAAAATGGTAAGAACAGAAGTTTTCAAAATTTAAGTACATTAAAGAAATTGGTGCCTACAAACATAGAATCTTCTATCTAAACAGGATGCTTGAGTAATTCGTTTTCTAGAAAAATCTACATAGAAACATTTTTCCGAGTTTTCTGTAGAACTTGCGAACCTAAAATATAGAGAATAATATATAGTTAATATTGAAAAGTCACACCTAAAAGATGATGAATACAGAGTATATTTGGAATAATAGCCATATGTCAAAATCTGAATAATTCATGTAAAAATTTTTAGTAAAAAAGATTGGTATCACATCTATTCAATTATTCATCTTTCTTTCTAAGATTAATCACAGTTACACATAGGGGCTGGAGAGCTAGTACAGCGGGTAAGACGTTTGCCTTCCACGCGGCAGACCCGGGTTCAATTCAAAACATCCCAACATCCCATATGGTCCCCTGAGCACCGTCAGGAGTAACCCCTGAGTGCAGCGCCAGGAGTAACCCCTGTGCATCGCCAGGTGTGATCCAAAAAGCAAAAAGAATATATACTAAAAATAAAAAAAAATAATCACAGTTACACATAGAAATATAAGGATGTTTAAGAAGCTTACGACTTGGACGAAAAAACTGAGCCACCTGACCACATCTGGACACCATCATTGGTTTCGTTGAAGGGCCCACTCCAAAGCAGGATATCAAAAGCCACAAATATATTCTATGAGGAAAAGGATTATGAAAAATCAAAATTTCTTATGTTAGTTTTAATTTTGTAATAAAATTAAGTTATTTATTTCATTTGTCATTTAAAAATATTAGACATTATAAATATGATGTTAAGATGATAATTATATTTGAATATAATATAATATAATAGCATCGAATAGTACATGTCAATATAATAATATACAATAAGCTAAGTCAAAATGTGAGTTAAAATATATTATCTAAAGCAAAACATTACTAAATTGAGTAAAAATTTGAGATACAAAACCTAGGACTGATGAAACTGAAGATGGTGCTATAGAGAATTTTCATGTTAGAATGTTAAAGATAAGAGAGAAAAAATAGAGAAATCTCATAGACTTTTACAGTATGAGGGAAACAATTTAGGTTTAAATATAACATGAGAAGAACAAATACAGAAAGGAAAAGAAGTGCTAGAAACAATAAAAGAATAAGCTTATTTCATTCAAGAATGTTTATAAACCTGAGACATTTCGAGACAATATAATAAAAAAGCTAAGCAATTGTTAAAGACAATGGTAAAATAGATAATATTGAGGAAACTGGCAGGACAATGAGGTAACTTGAATCATGTGAAAATAATATTCAATGATTTGGCTAAAGGAGCAAAGTCCCACTATGCCTAGGTCACCTCACACATAATATACATGTGTAGATAAAATTAGCAATTTGCAGGATCAAGAAGCCCCAGACTCATATAACCCCATGGAAACCAAAACTTAACAAAGTTAAAAAAAAAGAACATACAGAATTAAACTGATATGTGATGAGAGAAAGTTATGTGACTATTATGATGCTGAAAGCCTTGAATAAGATACAAAACTGGGGGTATGGTGCTGCCAGCAGGTCAACCTACCTGCAGCGCAAATGCATCAGTAACCTAATGGGGCCTTCAGACTTCCTGATACCCCAAATTGTCCCTGTGCCTTTGGTCAGACCTCAACAACTTGGGGCCAAGTTCACCAAGAAATTAAACGGCCATAAGTTAGGTATGTGGGGGCCAACCCACAAACCACCTCTGGCTCAGCTATACAAGTCAATTTATTAGCCTTATTTCAAAGACCCATAAATTTTCAAAGAGGTCCAAAACCACAGTTAGGGCTGTGGTACCCTATGCGTGAGCTTGAACAAAGTTACAAAATTATTAAGTAGGGAGTATAGTCTTTCTCAACATATAGAACCAGTTGGCTACAAATATGCAAGTAAGGTAAAGTCACTGTCACTGTCCTCCTGTTGTTCATCGATTTGCTAGAGCGGGCCAAGTAACGTGTCCATTGTGACACTTTTTGTTACTGTGTTTGGCATATTGAATAGGTCAAGGGGAGTTTGTCAGGCTTTGCCCTACAGGCGAGATTCTCTCGGTAGCTTGCCAAGCTCTCCAAGAGGGGAAGAGGAATTGAACTGGGGTCTGTCGGGTTGGCTGCATGCAAGGCAAACTCCTTACGCCTTGACTATCTCTCCAGCCCCTCAAGGAAGGTAATTTAATCCATATCACATGCAATAAAAATCTTAAAATACCTGAATGTAAACTATAAAATATGAAGATGATATATTAGAAAATATTTGCGGCCATGTGACATCTTATTATCTTATTTTTACTTTGGAGAACCTTGCAGGCTACCAAAAGTATCGTGGCTGCATGGCAGAGTCTGGCAAACTTCCTGTGTCGTATTCAATATGCCAAATACCAGTAACAATGATGGGTTTCATTCTCCTAATCCTGAAAGAGCAATGAAATGGCTCTTTTAAAATCTCAGGGCTAGGAAGAAGGAGACATTACTGGTGCCTGCTAGAGGAAATCGACGAACAACAGGATGATCGTGATCGTGATATTAGAAAAATGTGGATGCCATTGAATTAGACAGAGGTCAGTTTAACATCAGAGGAATGAATTATAAAAGAACTAAAGTGTATTTAACAAAAAAATTTATTTCTAAGACCTAAGGATAGTTCAACGGGAGGGCCTTTACCTTTACCTTTAAGGATAGTTCAGGAGGTTAATATGTTTGTCTTTTTGTCCTGCATGTGTGTTACCCTGGTTTGGCACTGCCAGCATATAGTCCCTCTAAGTGTGGTCCCCAAATTGAAACCAAACCAAATAAAAAAATAAGGTAAAGGTAAAGGCCCTCCCGTTGATCGTCGATTTGCTCGAGCGGGCCCAGTAACGTCTCCGTTGGAGATTTTTGTTGTTACTGTGTCTGGCATATTGAATACTCTTGGTAGCTTGGTGGGCTCTCCGAGAGGGACGGAGGAATCGAACTCGGGTTGGCCATGTTGGCCGCTTGTAAGGCGAACGCCCTACCGCTGTGCTATCGCTCCAGCCCCCCAAATTTTTTTATTTTATGAAAAAAATTACACGTTATAAACTTTGAAAAACTATTTATAAATTAGGCATCTTTAAAGATACTTGTTTCCTGAATATATAAAAACCTCTCAAAATAGAACTTAAATCATTATTAAATTTAATTACTAAACTTAATAGCACTGCACTGTCCTCCCATTGTTCATCGATTTGCTCAAGCGGGCACCAGTAACGTCTCACAACAAATTGTGAGACTTGTTTTCACTGTTTTTAGCATACAGAATACGTCAGGGGGAGCTTGCCAGGCTTTGCCGTGTGGTTGAGAAACTCTCAGTAGCTTGCCAGGCTCTCCGAGAGGGGTAGATGAATCGAACCTGGGTAGGCCATGTTGGCTTTGTGCAAGGCAAACACCTTACCTGCTGTGCTATCGCTCCAGCCCTACTAAACTTAATATAATTAAATAATTATCAAATTGATAATTATTAAAAGGCACCAATAGAAATTAAAACTTTAAGCCATTAAGTCAAAATAAGATATTTGCATCTCATAAAACAAAAAAGAGTTTAAAAGTTAAATATGACAAAACATCTGGGAAGGAAAATAAAGACAGCAAGGTAGGAAAAATGGGCAAAAGATACAGGCATTTAGCAAAACAAAATATTATAATACTAGTAAACCAGAAAAATATGTGTTCAATCCATACCAAATCATTATCAAACAGAAAATGACTATTAAGATCATAATAATTCTCGGGCCAGAGATGATACAGTGTGTAAGGATTCAAGCCTTGCATGTATGTAGCTGACCCAGGTTTGATTTGGAGCATCCCATTTGGTCCCCATAGTAATCGCTGTCTGGAACCAGTAGTATACCAGAAAAAAACAAAGGTATGACCCCCAAACAAACAAAAACTAATATCGCAAAGATTCTCATATACAATCATCAGAATTTATAACATTTAAATTACTAATGGTTATAAGTTTTAGATCAAAAGACTAATATGTAAAATGTATTTTGACAATATTAGAAAATGTCTGAGTAATATAACAAATTGATACACACATATCAATTTATCATATATTATATATGTTTATGTACTAAATTTTTATTTGCAATATTTTCATTATTAAAACTAATATAACTATAAAACAACAACCATAAGACATTTCATAAATATACTAGATTTTTATATAACATATACTGTATATATAATATACATCTTGTAATGAATTAAGATTTCAATAAAATATCTATAAAATGAATATCTTTAAAAGTAAATATGTATAAGAATATTTAAAATGTTAAGTCATCAATAGAACAGTGAAAAATGTAAAAACTATAAACACAGAAATAAGAAAGAACATATATGAGAGTAAAAATTCGAACATAATAATCTTCTCTTGTATGTGAAGCTCAAGTTTTAAGAAAATGTAATTTATAATAGATTAAAATTCAGAGTACGGATTCAGCAATTAGAGAGGGCAAAAGGAATATACTATGTTTGAAAGATTTTATTTGAAGATCTTACTTGCAAGAACCTGCTTCTTTTCACTTGGTAAATATTTGCAATATAATGTCTAGCTTCCTTGATAAGATAAATAAGACTTATTTTGGAGTAAGAAGGCACTGATGATGCTGACGACATTTCTAGAAAGGGTGGAACACAATCCTTAGCTGGACTTTTGGCACCACATACAGCCAAGTACTGCGAGGAACAGCCCTGTGACCCCATGAACTCTGCTCTGGAGACCTCCATGAACACAGCACTGTTTTCTATAAAAGCCAGTGAAGCAAAAAGTAACAAATGTGCAAGCATTCCTGGTATAAAAATGTAATCACAATTGCTGAAAAATTGTTACCGTTGAAAAATTTTAGCTAGAGTTAAAAAATGCAATATTAACCTTTGCCTTGCAGGCAGCAGGCCTGGCCTAGCCAGGTTTGATTCCTTCACCCCTCTCGGAGAGCCCGGCAAGCTACCAAGAGTATCTTGCCCGCACAGCAAAGCCTGGCAAGCTACCTGTGACTGATACGCCAAACACAGTAACAACAACCTCTGCATTGGTGAGACGTTACGGGGCCCGCTTGAGCAAATCGATGAACAATGGGAGGACAGTGCTACAGTGCTAAACTTAAATATCTATAATGTACAAAGCATTGATGAGCTCTTTAAACATAGCATCTATTGAAATATCATTTAACAAAATAGATACAGCTTTCAAATCTTACCATTTCTTCAGGATTATCTATATAAAGAAGCTTAGAATTCTTAGACACACAGGCCATCATACTTTCATTCCATGTTCTCTTTTCATTACTGATATAATAGCAGCTGTTGGAATATATGAACCACTCCTCTGGACAGTGATTACAATTATATGCTAAAGAAAAATTAAGTCCAATCAAAAAACTATTTGATATTTAACTAAAATAATATTACAAACATGCATAAGCATATGTATATATGCAGACATATATACATAGATATGTACTCATGTATATAAACATACACATATGTATGGATATGTTAAACATAAGTGCATATCTATGTACTTGAGGTGGTACATTTAAAACACATATATGCAGTCACAGAATTTTTATATCCCCTAACTTATAGACCCATATAAAGAAATCACAACAAAATTAACTCTCTATTTGTCCTAAAGTCAATGAACTAAGTTTTTGGTTTAGGACCAGAGTCAACACTGCTTAGGGTTTATAGCTAGCTCTGTGCTCAGAGATCACTTCTGGTGGTGCGGTAGGGACCACACACAGAGTTGGGGATGGAACTGTGGTGAACCGCATGCAAGACAAGTGCCTTAACCCCTTACAATCTCTTCAATCCTTAAGCCACATTTTAGATCATAAAATTGAGCTCTTTCCTCAAGTTTTAACAATGAGAAATTTAAACGAATTCTTAATGGATATGGTGTTTTTTTTTCAAACAAATATTTCTTTCTTTGATACCTTAGAAGAACACTCTCCAGTAGTTATTATTTATTACTGATTTGGGGGACATAGAGAAAGTGCTCAGTGTCTACTCCCTGTAGTTCTCCAGGGGTTATTTCTGGAAATAGAAAGGAGCCATGCGGTGTCAGGGATGGAACCTGAGGTACCCACCTGTGAGTCCTGCACTCCAACTCTTTAAGCCACCTTCTCAGCCCTATTTACATTTTTGTTTAACCTAAGATAAAATATAAAAGGTACTAATGACACCTAGAATTTTCTAAAACATACCTTTTTGCATCATTGTTACCAGAGATGAATTTTTTGACTCCTGATTCTCAGTAGCTAGAAAAATTAAATTCATAAAAATATTTATTTTGATTTAAATAAGGCAATATTTTAGTTCTTTGAAAGAAATTTTGTTTGAGAAGTTTATTAATTGCTAAGGATTAGAGTAACCTAAAATAAAATCATTTTACTTAAAGAACTTAATAAAATAATGAACATTGGGGATAATATTTCAAAAGCCTAATATACCTAATTTCACCATCACTTACCTGATCCCATTTAATCAGTGTCCAGAATCAATTTATAATAACTTTTACACTATAACAATTTTCACATTGTTCTGTACTGAACTTTTGGGGGTCGCTTTTTGATTTGGGACCACACCCAAATTAGTCCAACCTTGGTGTTGGAAATTCAGGAGTTACTCCTGGCTCTATACTCTGGGGACACTTCAGCAAATGCTAGGTGAAGCATATGAGAATCCAGGTTTACATGTGCAAGACAAGTGTTATACTATCATCCCTGCCCCGTATCGGAATTTTTTAATGTACTAAGAATAAGTATTAGACATTTTCCAAGAACATAAATTAAAATGAGAGTTCTGCCTCTTCACATTATGAATATTTAAAGTTACAGAGAATCATTAATGTGGAAAGTCTCCTTATAATCTTTCCAAAATTTACTTACAGGGAATAACAATGAAAATTATTATCATCCAAACAAGGCAGAGGAGTACCAGGGATCCAGCAATGAACTTTTCCAGTAAAGCTACTGGAGGAAAATGAAAACACGGAAAATAAAAAATAGACACAAATGTTTAGATGGTTAGTACACAAGACAAACCACTTGCAAATGTATTAACTTGGATTCTAAAACTATTTCTCCCATTCTAATATTCTCCCCGGATACTGCATCTATTACACTTCCAGTAAATATAACCCTCACGGGATTTTAGTCAACAACAACAAATTACGATGCTTGAATAAAATTAGTCCTCAGATTTTATGCTAAAATGCCGTATTTCAATTTTATGATCTGATTCTCACCAACAAAAGAAAGGGAACAGATCATTCCTTACTCTATTCTACTTTCGTGCATATACTAGAACGGTTGTATTCTACTGTGTCTGTGAAAATTCTTACCTCTGCTGTGGAGCTGCTGGTCATTCCCTTGAGGATCCTGACAAGAGTTTTGAAAATTAAACTCTGCGTAGGTTATTTCCTGCTCAGTTACTGTATCAGAGCTTTTGGAGTCCTGGGGTTCCTTTTGCCTTCTCTTCCAGTCCTTATGTAGATTCAGCTCTTCATAGGTTACCCTCTGGTTATTCATCTCCGCAGCTGGGAACTGTAGGTGACTGTGTTCTTTGATAACTGCAATGACCCACTGAATCTGAAGACAGGAGTCTAAGATGAAAAGATTCTCAGCCTAGTCAATGTGGGTGGAGTGTCAGTTGTATTATGCCACATGTACTGCACAATGCATAAAGTACTGCACATTGCATAGAACTTTCAAGATAGTTCATTTTAAAGGTGTTTTGTGGTAGACTAGCTTTTAGAATGAAGTCCTATGTTTGATGCATTGCTTGAAGAAACATAAAGCAAAGAAAGTGAGTAATAATTAGCACATGAATAATAACATTCTCATTAGTTTAAACTCAGATTCCACAGAAGGATTTTAATACTACAAGAAAAAGATAGATGCCGTATTACAAAATATTAATGCACTAATTTTTATTTATTTTTATTTTATTTATTTATTTATTTATTTATTGAATCACTGTGGGAAAGGTTACAAAGCTTTCAGGTTTATGTCTCAGTCATGCAAATATCAAACACATTTCCCTTTACCAATACTTATTTTTTACCATGAAGAACCCCAATAAAACCCCACCCCCCACCCCTCCCCGTCCCTGTGAGGCAGATGAATTCTAGTTAACACTCTATCTGCTTTGATTAGATTCATTGTTTCAATAAAAGATTCACCACTATTATTTAGAGTTTACCCCCCCCCCCCAAATCAGACATGCTTCAAAAGCATTGTGAAGTGATTTGCTTTCTACAGCTGGGTTCAAGAATTAAATGTTGGTTTTGGATTTCTGCTATTTTACCTATTGACCCTGGAAGTATTTCTACTGAAAGTCAGATAGTTAAGAAATTGGTTTCTGTGTTCTGGAGTCGTGGCCGTGCTGGAGAGCCGCTCGCGGGGGGACCGGTGGCCTCGGTAGGGCGTGAAGGGCGGAGCGAAACGCCCCCCTTCCCATGAGGTTTTAGTCGCCCCCACACTCCCGGCTCATACCTGCTGTCCACAAGGCTCCCATGTGGCCGCCATCTTTCTTTCCAGAGAGGAGAGGGCGAATGGGGCAACACCCTTTCCCCTCCGGCAGACTTGATGGCCTGGATCAACACATAGTCCATTCACTTTTCTGCTCCAAGCTCCTGGGTTCTGCATTAAGTTCTTGTGCTTCTGGGGCCATGGCCGTGCTGGAGAGCCGCTCGCGGGGGGCGACTGGTGACCTCGGTAGGGCGTGAAGGACGGACCGGAACGCCCCCTGACCCATGAGGTTTTAGTCGCCCCCACTCCCCCGGCTCATACCTGCTGTCCACAAGGCTCCCATGTGGCCGCCATCTTTCTTTCCAGAGGGAGGAGGGCGGAAGGGAGCAACACCCTTTCCCCTCTGCAATACACTAATTTTTAGGACAAAATCTTAAGTCACCTAATATTTTAAGATTGAATGCCCAAAACAGGAAGAAAATTAGCATTACTATTTCCTGCACTAAAGTGACTTGTTATCAAATGAACTTTTTATTTTTAATCAGTGTTTGGGAAGGGCGAGAAGTTAGGCTAGGTGTGGCAGTGCTCAAGGATTCCTTTTGCTCTATGCACAGGGATCACTGCTGGCAGTGTTTTGGGGATGATAGGTGGTACAAGGGATTTGAACCCTGATGCATGCAGGGCAAATGTCTTACCTCCTGTACTCTTTTTTTGAACCACCAAATAATTATTTTAAAAGATTGTAGAATTCATAGAAATCTTTTAAATGTTGAAGAAATATTTTTTTTGTAGGAGTACTGCTATTTATTCAGCCACTGATTAGCTGATTGAATTGTGCATGAACTCCACCTTACTTTTTTTTTCTTTTTCCATTTTTTTATAATTTTACTTATTGAATCACCGTGAGAGCAGTTACAAAGCTTTTGGGTCTAAGTCTCAGTCATACAATGAAACATCCGTACCTTCACCAGTGCCCATTCTCCACCACCAAAAATCCCAGTATACCCCCATCCCACACCCTCCCCCTGCCTGTGGGGCAGATGATTTCCACATTACTCTCTCTCTACTTTGATCACATTCACTATTTCGACACCAGACCCACCATTATTTAAGATTTTACCCCAACACTCAGATCTGCTGAAAAGGCAACAATAGACAATGTGTGTTCTATTGCTGGTTATGAATAACATATGATATCGTGTGACTTCAGTAGGGCCATGTGGTTTTGAAGTTCTGAAATTTTAACACTTAAATCTGGAGGGATTTCTGCCAAAAGCCACTGGGTTTAGAGATCTGCTCCTGAGTCTCTGGGATCATGGCCGTTGAGCAGCTTGATGAGGAGCCAAAGAGGCCATTCGTGGGCGATGACTTGGGGTCTCATTGGGGTGGGGAAGACAGGCCCGGCTCTACCTCCCCCCCCCATCCCGTGAGACCCAACAAGTTTCGTCACTGCGGGCCCAAGCCTGACTGTCCAATGGCCTCTGGAGGATGACAGCCACCAAGTCGCCAAGAGGGAGCAGGCGGAGGGACAGAACCCTTTCCTCCCTGAGGTGGCCCGGTGACAGTAACCTACTGCGGGGTCCGGACACATTTCTGACAAAAGCCACTGGGTTTCGAGATCTGTTTCTGAGTCTCTGGGATCAAGGCCGTTGATCAGCTTGGTGAGGAGCCAGAGAGGCCGTTTGTGGGCAATGACTTGGGGGTCTCGTTTGGGTGGGGAGGACAGGCCCAGTTCCACCTCCCCCCCCCCCCCATCCCGTGAGACCCAACAAGTTTCGTCACTGTGGGCCCAAGCCTGACTGCCCAATGACCTCTGGAGGATGACAGCCACCAAGTCGCCAAGAGGGAGCAGGCGGAGGGACAGCACCCATTCCCCCCTGGGGTGGCCCAGTGACAGTAACCTACTGCGGGGTCCGGACACATTTCTGACAAAAGCTGCTGGGCTTCGAGATTTGTTTCTGAGACTCTGGGATCAAGGCCATTAAGCAGCTTGATGAGGAGCCAGAGAGGCTGTTTGTGGACGATGACTTGGGGTCTCGTTAGGGTGGGGAGGACAGGCCCGGCTCTACCTCCCCCCCCCCATCCCGTGAGACCCAACAAGTTTCGTCACTGCGGGCCCAAGCTTGACTGTCCAATGACCTCTGGAGGATGACAGCCACCAAGTCGCCAAGAGGGAGCAGGCGGAGGGACAACACCCTTTCCTCCCTGGGGTGGCCAGGCGACAGTAACGTACTGTGGAGTCCAGATGCATTTCTGCCAAATGCCACTGGGTTTTGAGATTTGTTTCTGAGTCTCTGGGATCATGGCCATTAAGCAGCTTGATGAGGAGCCAGAGAGGCTGTTTGTGGACGATGACTTGGGGTCTCGTTGGGGTGGGGAGGACAAGCCCGGCTCCACCCTCATCCCGTGAGGCCCTGTGTGTCTCGTCACTGGGGGCCCAAATGTGACTATCCAGTGGCCTCAGACGGATGGCGGCCACTGGGCCGCCAGGGGGAGTAGGCCAAGGCACGAAACCTATTCCCACCTGGGTTGGCCCAGCACCGGTAGCCTACTGCAGAGACCAGACGCATTTCTACCTAAAGCCACTGGGTTCTGAGATTCGTTTCTGAGTCTCTGGGATCATGGCCATTAAGCAGTTTAATCAGGAACCAAAGAGGCCTTGCCTCCTATTATATAGCTGAGCCAGAGGTGGTTTGTGGGTTGTGTTTCCCACATACCTAACTTTTGGCCGTTTACTTTCTTGGTAAACTTTGCCCCAAGTTTTTGGGGTCTGGCCAAAGGCACAGCAGCAATTTTGGGGTATCTGGAAGTCTGAAGGCGCCATGAGGCTGCTGATGCACTCGCCTCACAGGTACAGATTGACCTGCTGGCGGCACCATATCCCCAAAAATATTTTATGTAATTTTTTATGACACACTAAATTGATTTAAAACAGAATAATATTTGATTTTAAAAATCAAAGGTTTAAAATACACATCTCAATAATAAACTGTCAATTGATTTCATGGTTTGGAAATAATACTTTAAAGTTATGGACAAAGATCACTTGGCATGATTCACTGGCACAAATTTTCAGAAGTATTCTAGAGCTATGAAAATCAGTAAAGGTAGATTGAGCTGTATAAGAAATTCTAATAAATTAGATAATGTAAGTTAATAATATAGTTAATGTACTCTGTAGTGAGTACAACTAAAATTAATTTTTTCTTTAAAAGATTTACCTCTAAAAACTTATTTTAAGTCCAATAATTTGACTTACTAATGTGAAAAATAAAAATATGTAAGACAGAATGAATATAAATACACTCAAATACTGACTTTTGTAGCTCTCAATAGTTCATTATTCTGTTTTTTTGATGCAAATAACATTTTATTTCACCTGTTCCATATCCAGTCATTTAATATGATTAGAACACTCTCTCTTTTAACAGTGTCTAGTATATACATTTTGAAAAGTATTTCCAAATTTTTCTGCTTGATTTTCTTAAAATTTTGTATAAATTAGAATTTCACCAAGACTAACTCGCCTTGATTTTTATTTAAAAATTCAAAAATAGCCCTGGAGCAATAGCACAGCCGGTAGGGCGTTTGCCTTGCACGCAGCAAACCCGGGTTTGATTCCCAGCATCTTATATGGTCCACCAAGCACCGCCTGGAGTGAGTCCTGAGTGCAGAGCCAGGAGTAACCCCGGAGCATCACCAGGTGTGATCCAAAAAGAAAATTTAAAAAAGTGAGAATGTGAGAAAAAACATTTGATTTTTATTAATGAAATATTTTAAGAAACTTATTTAATAATGGACTAAACATTAAAATTAGGTATAGCTATATTTATTATGACTTCCAAAGTGAATATTTCTTGTAAGGAACTTATTAAATTCACATTTAATTGTTCTTGTGCACTTAACTAATTTTTTACAGTGAGCAATGAATATTTATAAAATTCAAAGGCATTATCTTTATTTTTTTTAGACTCTGATATTCATGTTTTCTATTCATGAATATCATGTTTTCTAGCCTGAACTATCCAAATAAAGACACCAAAGTTCTCTTATAGTTT